ATTCTATTTATCTAGCCATTTATGTTTTTATATATATATATATATATATATATATATATATATATATATATATATATATTGCTTTTAAGTCTTGCTAATTACAATTCGATATTACAATCAATGTACTAGTCAGTAAACATTTACGCCGTCAATTGGATAAATTATTGGTAATAGTATTGTTTGACGAGGAAACCCTTTTTCGATATTAGTTAGTAGAGCCAATATTTCGGTGAATAAATAAATCCGAAACTTTATCTTATTGATTTTGTATGCTTGCATTCGTCGTATATAAAGTCCATCGATATATATTTTTATTCAAGTTCATATTTATTAAATCATCATCTTACTAATAAGGCCAAGCATATATATAAAAAAAAAAAAAAAAAAAAAAAAAAAAAAAAAAAATTTAATCAAACAAAAAGAAAAATAAAAGAAAAAAAAACAATGGAAAAAAGTGTTTGTCATTTGAGGTGAGAATGATAAAATTAAAGTAAAGTCTTTATAAAATCATGTGCGAATTTACGTACAATAATAATGTAAAATTTATTAAATTCTCTTTTGCTATAAGAATGAGAATATGAAAAAAAATTTTTCAAAATTAATTTCCATACTTTCAGGTAAATTTCATTTAGACTTCAACTAATACTTACAATTATTGTCGACTGTTTTATTTAAACTCTCGATATGCGTCTTAAAAACGATATACATACAATCATTTATGACAATATAATTCCAACAAATGCAAGCGTATTATTCATAATTAAATAAATCGACCATTGGATAAAAAATGGTAATTGATTAAAAAAATTAAAAAAAAAAAAAAAAATTACCTTTATCGTTGAATTTTCAACATCTTAATCTTAATTCTTAATTAGACAATATTACATTGGTATTATAAATAATTGTGAAAAATAATAGTTTTTGGATATTCGTGTTTCAATTGTTGATCATAATTTCGTGATTTAGAATCGACCTTGAAACTTTAGATATTTTATTTTAATGTAAAATTTCCATAAATATTAACTTGTCATAATCGCTATTAACTTTCTATTTAATCAATAATGTAAGCAACATAAATGAAGAAGCTCATTAAATAAAAGTCTAGAGTCTAGAAAAGTCTCGTAGAGAATGAGAGTATAGAAAAAAAAGAGGAGAACAGTCATAGTGCGCAATCTCGATGAAAATCGTAAAGAAGATTAAATCGATTAAAAGATCGATTATTTTTAATAAAAAAAAATTTTATATTTACTAGGAACATGTGTCTTTCTTGGTGATCGCCACTTCTTGCTGAAATCTTAACGATTCTTCCTTCTTTGACGAGCTCGCGCGTCGCACTGACTAGATCGGTGGAATCGTAAATACTTTCTTGGATCTCCAGGAGCTTTTTGAATTTATCGATCTTTTTCATAGCTTCGTTTGTGTGATTCGCTGCTGTTGATACTAATTCTAGGGCTTCTGCGAATAATATAATTTTGTAGTTTTGTGTTTTTATAATTTTGCAGCTGGAGAAAAGCTCGTTTTACATAATAAATTAGGTAGATAAAAGCGGAATAAAATAGAATTCGCGCATTATTATGTATCGTGTGTCAAAACCGTTCAAATAATCCTCGTTTCAAATAAATGTGCATTACACACAATTGACTCGGTTTGCAAAAGAAGCTTTTGAAAGCTTATGATTATTTGTATAAAATTTAAACTACGCTACTTGCCCAACTACAAACCACGCCCAATTTATGATCCTTGATAATTGATAAAATAATATGCTAAAGTTATCGATTTCTTACCGATTACAATTCTCACATAATGCACTTACTTTTGGTATCTTCATAATCAGGATTATCTTTAACAAGATTCTTCAAGTAATCTTTTAGCAATAACTCGTATCTCGGCAATCTTTGAATGGGGCTGAGCATGTGATGGGCTAAAGAAAGCTTTGCGCATTCTTCCAATTTTTGAATTTCGCTTATTATGGCAGCGAATCTTGGAACTTTCTGTTGCAATGTGCTTATGAGATTTATGGCATGATCGAAGTTTTTAACGTACTCGGTGTACATTTTCAAGAATGGGGCAAAATTCTTCATAATATCGCCTATCCTTGGATCGGCATCCCACGCTTCTATTCTCTCCTCCAATTGCGGTAATAGAAAGTCATTGTGAAATTTATAAATTGATTTTATGTTGGAAAACATATGCTGAACTGTTTCGGGCGGGAACATTGGATGCGCGCGATTCTCCTGATCAACTCGAAATTGAAAGATCTGATCGATTAAATATAAAATAATGACGTATTTTTTCTCAGTGCTTAACAATTCGTTTGCAATGTGCTTTGTCTTCTTTCTTTTTATTTCACTGGCATTTTTCTTCGACTTCAACTTATGTTCAACCAACAAATCATCCACATGATCGGCAACGATAGCCGAATCTGTTTCCGAGGATCTAGTCTCTTCTGATTCCTCGTCGCTCTCCGACTCGCTGACAGCATAATCACTTTGAAAAGAATTCTCCGCAACCACGTATCTGAAATATTTGTCCAAAATTACTTTAGAATTTCGTAGGATAAATTTTCAATTATTTTTGATTGGTCGCAAAATGCCAAGTATACGTGAATATAATAACAATTTCAAATTCAAGTAGTATTTTTTTTTTTGAAAGGTTTGTCTTTTGAAACAGGTTGTGAAAACAGGAGGCGAACGAGAAGGCAAATTAATAACTACATTCGTACAATATGAGAGTGTAGTATGAAAAATAAAACAATTCCAACGCTCGCTGGTCTTACATGTTACGACATGCATATAATAAATATTATACTTGAGTATTATTTTGTAGTAGCCAACTTACTCAATAAAAGCAATGGATTAGATTTTGAAAGCATTGCTCGTTATAATAAATAGTCAATCAATGTTAAAACAAACAAACAAAATTCTCTAAATAAACAATTGCATATTATAGAAATAAAAGGAAAAATTTAGACATAAGTAATATAATGGATGAGATTGATTATTGAAAGGAAACGAGGCAATTGTCAATAATTCAAAACTCTAATAGAATAAACTCTATTTCAATCTCAATTAGTGGCGGGTATTGTTATTTTTACATTTAAGACAATTGATTTTATTATTGTTGTTATTCGTGCATTCTCAGGATTAAATTCAATTTGCAAGGGGCGGAGAGAGATGGATTACCTGCTACTTCGATATTCCAGAACACTGTGTGACATACTCGTAAAAGATGATTCGATCGTACTTTCCTCGGTTTCATTAGATTCTGTACAAACTGTTGGAGTGGCTGTTGACATAACAAAAAGCCTGAATCTAGGAAAACCACCGAAACTAGCAATTCTATGGAAGGAATGTCTAGGGTACTGAGTTTGCTCTTCCTGTCCACCGACAGAGTCAGAATCTTGTGAATTGCCATCTTCGCTAGCTGCGCTTTGTTGCTCCAATAATCGAGAATTTCTATTTACAGTCTTTTCCACTTGAATTGACGTAATCTCCTTCTCATCCGTGATATGTAAATCTGTGTAAAACGTGCTGGTGCCACTCGTTTTAGAGCCAAACATATTGGACTCTAATGGCTCTGGGCGAAGGCAAACCATCCAGGATGAAAAATCTTTCAACTGGCCTCGCAGCATTCTATAGAAACATACATCGTACCAGTGTTAATGAATATTAATTATTTGCACGATAAACAAATGACATGATAATTCAACAATATTCGAACAATGATAATTAAAGCGTATCTAAATATTAATTATGACAACTGGACAACTTTTTTTAAGGCTTAATAAGTAGGTCGTTGTAAAAATTATCAAATACACTATTATTGAATGTAACATTGTAGAGTCGAATTTTTTCACTATCGATCCTTTAAATGAAAAAAAATAACGTGTATTAGCATTAATTATACTGCAAGTACATAATAGCTGCTCATAATTATATTACATAACAAGTTGTTGTAATTAATAAAAAAATTACATATTTCTTACTGTCTGAACGTGATAAAAACAATAACAAAGAAACGACAAACCAATAATGATAAGAGAACAAACCAAAAGAAGAAGGGAGAAACAAGTAAACTTAAGAAAAGGAATCTTTGTATACATATATAGCAACTTGTCGAACAAATCTGTCAAAATATATTTTCATTTTTTAAAACAGTGGAATGTAAATTTTGTAACGTCAAGAGTATCCATCCCTGAAGCGTGCGCTATACAATATAATTCTACATTCTCAATATTCTATGGTGATAGACTAAATTTCACCCTATCTCGCGCTCCCAATTTCAATAAACTATAAGAACATGAATAATTTAATTTACCACCGCCAACGAACCAGCCGGTGAGCTTGTACACAAATCATTAAATCCTAACATTACCGAGTCAAGATCTGACGTCTACATAAAAAACTGGTACTATCCTTATTGAAAGAGAAACAAGATCCTTGCGCTCAATTATGCCATGAATCAGACATCGACGACGTTCCACCAGACCAAACAGCAAAAAAGCCTAGATTACAAGGCACAAGAACCGGACCGTGCAGCTAGCCGTATAAAAAACTCACCTCTCGCCTGTCCTTCTTTGGCCAGCTGCTCGATGGAACTCGAGTCTTGCCCCGAACTCTGCATCTCTACAGGCTTCTAGATCTCAGCGTACCCAAGGGCAATGCACATTCCACTGCCTATTATCCAAATCAACGCTGGAAACAATGCCTGCCCCTCTCAATAACCCAGTCAACCCCGGCAATCCTTAACTCTCATAGCTGATTGCACAGGGAGATATAGGACACAGGGATCAAGAGACATCGTAGAAAGGACAGTAAGAGGAGAATAAAACTGCAAGATAAACAGAGGGTCACAAAGCACTAGGAGTGCCTAATGTAACCGAAGCTTATGCTGTTGTAAACGAGGGGCTGTCGGCCCCTCCTATTTTAACAGCCAGTCTTTATACAATTAAGTGTCGGATTATCGGGGGCTCCTTATCGACGCGCACCGTTCCGCTCGTCACGTCCCGAGCACTAGCAGCCGCGAGGCAAACTGTCCCGCACTACGCGCGTCCCCCCACCCCCCGACGCTACGCTCGCCTCGTCTATAAAGAGCCAAGTGCCCCGGTGGTAAACATCATCACCGCCGCCACGACGCCACGACGACGGCGACGCTCGCGACTCGCAACTGCGTTTTATCGTCGGCCGCGGCAGCGTGTTCGCAGGCCCGAGGGCTCCTCGTTACCTACGCCTGCCCTCCAGTTCCCACGCACGCAATCCAGAACCAGCGGCCGATGCTCGCGCCCCGTCGGGATACTCTGCCCGCCCATTGGTCGCCCACTCGACTCGACGGCTCTCCTCCCTCGACTAGGCCCACGTCGTTGTCGTAGTCGTTGTCGTTGTCGTGGTTGTCGTAGTCGTAGTCGTTGTCGTTGTTGTTGTTGTCGTCGTCGTCGTTGTCGTCGTCGTTGTCGTTGTTGTCGTCGTTGTCGTCGTTGTCGTTGTTGACGTTGTTGACGTTGTCGACGTTGTCGTCGTCGTTATCGTTGTCGTCGATTGTCCTTATCGTCGTCAAGGGCCCTGGTATTAGCTTAGCCGATGACGGACGTCCCGCTCGCGATCGTCGCTCTCCCTCCTTGTCGTCACCAAATAACGGCGGACGCCCCTAAATCCGACAGTTGGAGCGGGCAAGCCAGCCTCTTCGGATTATCCGTCACTTGTCACCTGACGTAATAATAATCGTAATAAGCGCCGACGTCGTCGGTAAGACAGGGCGAGATGATTTCTCAGCCTACGTCCGTCCACGTCCCCTTGCTCTTTTTCATCATTAAGCGCCGCTCCCTTCGCTCCCGCGTAACTCGTCATCCCGCCCCACCGCCTCTTCATCCCACCACCGCCCGCGCGACATCTTTTCTCTTGCTTTACCGAGATCGACAGCAGTGGCGGCGACGGCTGCGACGCTGCTTTTTCGAAAAAGCCGTTGAATGCTTTTTGGGCAGTTGCGTGGCTTATACCGTCGCCAGGCCCATCGGAGCGGAAATTAAAATAAACTCGAGGCTGTTTAAGCGTTTGTTTCGGCCCTTCAACCTTCATTTTCCGGCTAATATGCGCGACTGTAGAGACGAGCGCTAGTTCTTTACTTACTTGCCAAGAGCGCGTTGAATTATCTTATCCGACTCTTTATTATTATTCTTATCATCATTATTATTATTATCATCATCATCATTATTGTTAGTATCATTATTATGATTATTGTTATTGTTATTGTTATTTTTACGAGCGATTACGCGCGACAGACTGGCGGCAACAAATTGTCGTTTGAATGGACCTTGTTGTTAACCGAGCGTTCGGTTAATAATTTAAAGTTGAGTAATTTTAATTGCGCGAGTGTTGTGTATTGTAATCGTTAAAATTACTTAATTAACCGAGGGAATTAATTGGGCTTTTGGTAATTTAGATCGATCGGATCGGTAGTGCGCCAATGCAGTGTGTGCGATATTTAAGACAAAATGCCAATTCATCTCTCGTTAATCCTTATTACTCTAAACGTCTTAATTAATATGTGAGTGAACTTCAACGGACAGAACTAAACTATTTCTTAATTAAACAAGCTTAATTGCAACTCCGTGGTACTGCCTATCAATTTTTAAATTATGATTTCTTTTTTTATACCTAAAAACATTGTTACGCAATGGATTATTATAATTGAAAAGAAAAAGAAAAAAGCACTTTGTAAACAAATTTACTTCAAGAATTTATTCCCGTAGTATTAGATAGTTATTTTTAAGAATCATCCAACTATTTCATTATTGAATACTTTTGAATAATGTTAAGGTAGCACATTCATATATATATATATATATATATATATATAAAGCGACATAACGACGTAAAAGTGCGATTGAAATTCATTTCATTTTTTTTTTTTTCTGTATAATAAAAGTACTTTCTTTCATTCAGAATTTTTTAAAAATAAAATTCTATTTACAGGATATTGATCGGCAAATAGCTACGATCATCATAATAGGCTCTAATGCAAAATAATGTTAATTAATTATATTTTAAGATTTTGTTATCAATACTACATATTTTTAATAATTTAATACAATTGGTTTTTCTCATACGCACACTATCATACAAACATCATTAAGTAATACTTAAGTTGAGCAAATTTATAATTATTACGTTAATTATCACAATAGCAATTAAAAGATTATATATATATATATATATATATATATATATATATATATATATGACTCAAATAAGAATATTAATACATCACGAAGAACAATATTTTTTTACTCTTTCAAATGATGCATACTGAAAATGAAAAATTGTATGATATGTTTTTTCCACGTCTTATTACATTCAAATTCTGAATTTCTTATACGTAATATTTTCTAAATTTTTCTTTAAAACATATATATATTTGTAGAAAGCATTAAAATAAAGTGTACACACAATATATAAAAATAAAAAGTAATTGCATAAGATAAAATGATTGTTAATAAATTGTACAATTTTTAATTTTCTTAAGAAAATAAAAATCCAAAGTAAATAATCCAAGTCCAAAAACATATAAATTTTTTATTTTATTCATTTACATGTTAGAACGGCGAATCATACTCGCTCCCTGACAAAATAACTTACATTTCTTTGACTCAAAATAAAAACAGCGTATTGTGTAATTTTCGCATGTACATCCCTCGTAGTATCGCCCTTCTTTATATAAACAACATTGATACCAAACATAAACAATATCCAATCGATTTCTTTTAGAATTACTACGTAAAAGAAAAAAAAAAAAAAAAAAGCACGTAATAACAATAAAATACTTCCTCTATTTACCAATACAGGCTTTTCCTCGTGTCATTCGCGCGTTCTCATAAATTTAAGCCCATCGTAATAAAAATAATAAATAAGCTGCATGATAAGGAGAGGAATTTGCGCAACTAATAATAATAAAGATTCATATAAATGAAATTTCTTATCAGCATATGGATTTCAAAATGGATAATTAATCATAAAATAGAACAATTATTTCTCACAGAAAATAATAAAACAGGCGAAGAAATATTATTATTTTTTTTATTTTTTATTTTAAACAATTGAGGAAATTGTTAAGTATAAGAAGGAATTACTGATGTAGATACCGTAGCAAACATTAAATAAAATGCACCGATAGGATATGTGTGTACAAGAATGGGAAATCGGATATCTATGCCGAAATGTAAGGAGATAAACTTGATATAAAATTACAGAGGGGTAATTCTCATAGATAGAGGTAACGAATTGTATGGCGAAACGACGAATGCCATATTAGAAGGCTTTAAATAAAGAAATAAATACCGTAATATCTAAATACTATTAATAATAAATGGTCTTAAAAATATCACGTGCAAATTTTAATCAAACGTTGCAGGCGAATGTAAAGAAAAGCAATTTTAAAAGAATTATTTTTTTTTTTCTAAAACTGATATTCATCGAGATAAAGAGAAATAAGATTTCATAATAATGATAATATATTTGAAGAATAAAGTTATGAATTTGCTGTATTGGGGAGAAAGCTGATTGTCATGACAATCATATATTTCTTAATTTTATTTCACGAGGTCGTATTACTTAAGCATATTTTATTTATTTTTTTATTTTTTCGTCATATACGAAGACAAATCATTGCACCTACAGGTTACGTCTCCTTTTACACTTTAAAAGTAAGCCTTGAGAGACACTTATTTGGATTGAGTAGCTTCTCTTACTTTTGCAACCTTTGCTATTTGTTCATGTATTTGTTCGCTCGAGTAACTTTTTTTATGGACGAGATGAGCTCGCTATTTGTGAAATCTCCTTTTACGAGCATTATTACCATTACATACCCAAATTGTATGTAACGAGCAAACTCGCTTTTAGATTACTATTCTAAAGATAGCGTTTTTTGTTTTTAATAATTATATATCGAAACAACACTCGATAATATACGTGATTTAGCGTGCGATTTATTGAATTGATCGAACAATTATGAGTAAACTAGAAAATTTAGTAATAAAAATTGAAATAACAGCGTATAACTATCGATGCTTTAGAAATGTAATTTCCTTAAAGACCTCCTAAGTACCTAGTGGACAGGAATAAGATGATGCAAGGACGACGAAGGTCCTCGGTTAATGCCGACATCGATAATCTTATCAGATTATAAGCTCTTACACTAAGTATCACTTAAGAATACAAATACTTATTGATATTATTTTCTCATATAAATAAAACGACATTGAAAAACCATCATAAGTGCATACTAAAACTTTAAGTTGAATGATATACTCCATATTATAAATAAATTATACCTTTTTCCATTTTTTCCCATAAAGTATGTGTACTTATATATATATATATATATATATATATATATATATATATATATACATCATTGAGATCATACATATGATTATTTTTTGTAAAATATTCGGTTTGGTTGAAAGGGGCATTAAGCTTGTTTCAACTGTATTATTAACAATCATCGATGAATAAAAAATAGTAACGACACAATATTATTAAATAATATTCAATGTATAAATTCATGAAAAATAACTCCATAAAATTTTTATTTTTTTTGTACAGCTTCAAAGTTGTTACAAATAGTCATATTTTTATACTAAATGTCCACATTTCAACAATAACAATTTTAAAAATTTCAATTATTTTAAACATTATGCCAGTACACATGCCAAAACATAATCAATCGAATATATAAATTATGAATTTTGGTTTATTCCTCTAAAGAAAACAATCTCTTGTTTATAAAATGAACGCACATTACAAACTGATATTCCAGAAACGGTATGATATTCAAACTGCATCGATCTAAAAATTTTTTTATATTTGTAAATACTAGGAGCGCGAGAAAAGGGGGGGGGGATGGGTGATCAAGACTGACTTCAATTAGACATGAAAAAATCAATTATTCGAGACTAATAAATATTCTTATTGCTTGTATATAATCTGAACAAACATATATAGAAAATCCATTTGAATTTTGATTTATCGAATATCTATTTACATTTATAATAAAATAATCAATGAATCATTTTCAATAAATAATTTAAAATGGAGTTTAATCATGCAGGAGGTAATTGACATTCATATTGAGTGTTTTTTTTTTTTTTTTTTTTTTAATATTTAGCATAAATTAATTCAAAAATGTATCCCATCAATGTTTCTCTATACAATTCGATACAATAACAACAAATGATGAAATTATCGACTTTACATAACACATTAATAAAAATGTAGAAAAAATATTTAATCAATAAATAATTTTGACACTGATAAATAAGTTTTTATTAATAGAACAGAATTCATAATAGGAAGTCTTTAAAAATCAGTTAAAATGTGTAAAACAAAATTTTGTGCTAAAATGTTGGTTTAATTAAAAAAAAGAAGCTGTATATTTAATTTTAAGCTACTTTTTAAATTTGAATATCGACGAAAAAACATATTAGAAAAATGCAAGATCTAATTAATTATAAATCTATTCCCATATCAGATTTTTTATTCTCCACATTTTGTCTTGTATTATTAGAATAAAACATTTAAGCAATTTTATCGGTATTGTTTAATTCAATAAAACCAATCAATGATTAGTCAATCATTTCAATAAGTTAGAAAAGAAAAAATGTTGAATGCAGCTCGGAATTCTTTGTTATTAAAGGTCAATTCCGTATTGGCGAACTTTTTTTTTTTTTTTTTTTTTTTTTTTTTTTTTTTTTTAAGGAACATTAAATATTCTTTCTTAGAAATAGAATTTTCTATAGTTCAGTATTAACTACATTTATCATACTATACAAAATTCTTATATTGGTCTTTAAGAATTTTACGATCACAAATTAACCTCATTGCTTTCATGAAATAAAGATTATAAATAAATACATTATATAATTTTTTATTAAAAAAATTACATTTTACTAATCAATGTTTAGATGCTTACTGATGCATATACTTTCGTATACTTTTCAAAAAGCCGAGAGTATGGATAAAATCGTATTACTTGGATTAATCCATCATTGTAATCTACTGAAGATGCTTATTTAGATATTACGAGTATAATGTTCATTAGTGCACGTTAATTATATATTTATATACTAATTCAGGCAATCGATTTATTTAATGCGTGTTTTTTTTTTTTTTTTTAATAATAAATATACATATACATATACGGATATTGCATTTGATCTAACATAACCAAGTCTTATGCATTAGGCTTGACGAATGCAAATTCCAATAATGTAGACAGAATGGTACCATAAAATTTATTTTAGTAAAACTTGATTGCTATATTCTTAATATTATACTATTCCAAATTATATATAATATATGCCATGAAAATATATTTTTTGTAAATATTGCGTTTAATTTTACTCCTAACATGGTGAGTGAATTCTATCCATAGTCTACAAGTTCAATTTCAAAGATGACTTAAATTAAAGAAGAGTACATTCGTAATTCATTTGAAAGAGACATCTAAAATTTGCTCTTACAATTGCAAGCGCGTACACAGAGAGAGAGAGAGAGAGAGAGAGAGAGAGAGAGAGAGAGAGAAAAGAGAGAAAAGAGAAACAGAGAATCTACACAATTAAATAATACGAATAAATAAGTATTTAAACTACGATTGATTTATTTTCCAAGTCTTCTTACTTCCTTGTTCACTTAAATCGACTCATCAATTGAGTCATCCAATACCGACGATAATATATAGATATAATAAATTCCAAATGATTATATCTTCCTTAATCTTCACTTATCTTTATAGACATAATCGCAGATTGGCTATTTTTTATTATTAACACAATAATTTTTGAAAATATTATTACACCTATATATTTTTATTTTAGCAACTCATTCGAATAAATTGATTCTTTACTTTTATTTTATAATTTGTTGTAATACATATTAGAAAAACTTATTTTTATAGTTTTTATTTGCTTATGTATTTTTTTTTTTTTTTTTTTTTTTTTTTTTTTTTTTATTTATAAAATAATAACGTACTAGATTAAAAAAATAAAATTATACTCATGCTCATGAATCCATAAAGTATTTACTAATCTTTAATATTAATCTTTTAATAATAATGGAATAATAAAAAATTCTCATTATTACTTTTATACTATTTTTTAAAATACTATTAAGTACTTTAAATTATTTTTGTAAATATTAATAACAATCTGATAACAATACAAAATACTACTTAATCATATACAATTATTTCATACTTTAATAAATTATAGATTCATTTTTCAACTACGTCACGATTATATTTTATTTTATATTCGCATATAAGACAAACTTAAAATAATCAAATTTTTAAAATTTTTATGAAAATTTACTTCGTACAATCATTAATTTATATAAGCAATATTTTCGTTAAATTTTATCCATATTGTTAAAAAATTTGTTTAATTATTTATATCGCGTCTTAAAATTGGAATATACTTAAACTTATGACTCGATTCTTTTATAATACTTTTATAAGTGAGATAAAAAGACTTCTCGTGAAATATAATTAAAATACATTATACTGTATTAATATTTTAATGTGCTTACACGTATGTACATATATGTATGCATGAATTTCTAATTGATACCGTCTATAGGGGTGTTCCATATTTTATAAAAATTTTTATTATGACACGGAAACTATTAAAAATTAACTATTAAATTGACATCAATATGATATATTTAATTTCATTATTCGTTTAGTATTACAATGATCTTTAATTGATTTTATCATTTTGATATGAAAATTTTTGGTATACACATTTACATAAATAATATTTATCTGTAATCTCTGTATCAATGTTTTTTTTTTTTTAATAAAGAGTACATTCTGATTTACACTATAAAAAATAAACAATTCGAGAACGAAACTTTATTACTTATTTTAAAATTTTTAATTATAATATATAATACATACAACTCAACGTATCACTACCAATTGAATACTGACCAATTGAAGAAAAATTATAAAAATCAATAATTATTTGACCTCATATAACAAAAATACATATCATTCGCATCTACTGTTATAATAAAATTTTTCTTATAATATATTATTGAAAGAAACAAAAAAGACAAAAATACTTCTATTAAAATTATAAATCAAAATGTACTTTTATATAAAAATTTGTACACTAATATACGTATCGTATAATGGCTTGTACAATATATGCTTGTACAATTAATAATTAACTTAATTACTGTATACTTAAAGAAATACGATCACTATAACAAAATGTACATTGTATATAACAATATTATGTCTGACTGTTCATTTCATCAATAACACTTTGCTCAAGACTAAATTCATAGTCATAATCAGCTTTGTTAACTTTTTTAAAGAACTTTGCTATTTCATCTAATCGAAGTTGATCAATTACAGAATCTTCATTTATACTCCTTTCTAATTCCTTACAAAATTTAAATGGTATATTACTTAAATCGTTGATATTGTTTTCTTGTAAACCTTCCTTTACAAATGGTGTTTGAGTGGGAGGATATGGTGTTATATTACTCAGCGAAGGATATAAATTGGATGATCTTTCATTGTAATTAGATCCAGGTTGATTTTGTTTCACAAAAACAAATCCTTCGTGTGACTGCCTTGTTTCATCCTCGGGAGAAAGTGGAGTTTCTCTATGATGTTTTTTCTTTCCAAAGAACCAAGACATTGTCTATAAAACAAATTGATCTTCGTTTAATATTTAAATGATAAATGCGTTTCATTAATTTAATAAATGAATATAATGATTAGTCATACTTAGTACGTAGGGTTAAGTTGAGGCACACAAGCTTTTATATTTATTTATATATACATAAATATATTGTACTCGATGAAACTTAATACTACCAATAGCATATTATCATATATTTATTAAATTATCATAAATAAATGAATTAAAAATAATAATTGAGCAAATATAAGTTAAAATTACGTACGTTTATAATGCGTCAGAACTTTTAATATCAGAGATGACAGTTGCAATTTGTTACTTGTACAACATGTACATTACTAGATGCTTTTAAGTTCAGATACCTTGAGATAATAAATAAATTAAGTTATATTCATCATATAAAATACTTCAAATAACTATCAACCTTTTATTATTTATTAATATTATAGAAAATTAATGATTAGCGAACGAAACAAATAAAGTTTTTAAATATAAAAATCACAATTCTCAATTGTCGCCGTAGCGTTGGTAGCAATGATATTCAATATAGTTTATTTTACCTTCGATTCTCGATGTTACGGCGCATGCGTGTGGTTAGTATGGTGTTCTCTGGTTGATATTTTAATAGAATATTCAATATTTCATTTAAATATAAAAATGTTTCTTTAACATTATCAATTAAAATTACAATCAATTATAATTAGTATTTAATTTGTTTTTCTTAAATAACGTGTTAATTAGATATGTTTTTTTTTGGATAAAGTAAGCTTTACTTAAGAGGTACCTGCAATTTTATACCAAATACATAATTAATGTAAATTATGCAGTATTTCATTATAATATAATTATTTATTATAAAACAAATTTTATAAAATTTTGTTAAAACAATTGTCTTTGAAAGGCAAATTGGTAAATGAAAAATCATAGACAAATATGAGCTTAAAGATTTTAAATATGTAAAAAAATATATTCATTTTTAAATAAGATATTTTTGTATTTTAAGATTTCTTTGTTAGGCAAATCAAATGTATGAAATTTAATTTTATAATTTGATAAATAATTGACTTTTTTTATGACCTCGTAACACATGTCTTTAATTTTAAAATATCAAACATTGCTGGTTATAAAAATCCATTATTATTTCTTTGTCCTAATCTTAATTCGTAGACATAATATGACAATATCAAATGATAATACATTTGATTAAAATTTCGATTTAATTATCATGGTAGTATATTCACCATAATGTAATATTAACGGCTATAAATATATTTACATTAGTTATGTGACATGGTTTAACACCTTTCATTGCAAGGGAACGAATGAGAAAGAAAGACTATAAAATCACGCACTCTCTCTCTCTCTCTCTCTCTCTCTCTCTCTCTCTCTCTCTCTGTTCTATCTCTCTGTCAGTCCCCGATCTCTTTCAGTTCAAGTCTTCGAATTGTAAATTCAGCAACATTATGCTACATTCATTCATTCATCTTAAAGTACTGTTTGTGGTAAATAAATAAAAGAAATAATAACTACAGTGTTTTCGAATTATCATCAGATATCGAATAATGTGGAGAAAAGCATTGCATTTGTTTTAATTTGAAGTGATATGGAAATAATTATACTTCATACATATATTAATTTTTCAATCCAGCGATACATTAAATTGTAGAATATTTAAATGTTTGAAAATATTGAACTTTATAAGAGTAAAGATGATGTACGATGATACCAGCTTGCCAGCATCTCCAGTTTTGGATTTTCAAATTAATCCATTAAGGCACAGATTTCCATTTTGTATAGTTTGGACACCGATTCCTATATTAACGTAACATAAAATTAAATTTATTTGCCCTGTGTATTTGTCTGACCAAACTGAACATATCACTGATATTCTGATTATTTTCTTAGATATTTATTTCCTTTCATCGGGCACATGGGCATTGCAACATCTGATGGTATCATTCGAGATTTTGCAGGAGCATATATTGTAACGAAGGATAAAATGGCATTTGGATGGCCAACAAAATATTGGCAACTTCAATGTACAAAGGCAAAAGGAAAGATACAAGGATGGGATGATGCAGTTAACGAAGCAAGCGAACTTTATTCAGAAAGAATTGTATTGATTTAATGTTATCAAATTATTACGTATAAGCGATAAAATGGAATTTTAATTCGATACTTCATTTTAGCACAATTTATTACGTGATAATTGCCATTCGCACGTTGCAAAGGCACTAAATCTGATGTCCTACGATAATTCAACCGATTGGAATATGGTTAAACTAGCATTTCATATGTTCTTTTATGGAAAATACGTTGGGTAATATATACTAAATATGAATTGAATTAAAAATAGTATTTCGGCAATTATGTGTTACATGCTTTTTTATTTAGTTTTTCAGGAATTTTGAAAACCTGGACACCATTTTTAGTAACCATTACTATAATTATATTTCTTTCTATTTTATAATGAAAAGTCGTTATTATTTTTTCTTGAACAAAATGGAATTCTTAGCCGTAGTATCCATTTTCAACTTTTATTAAAAGACAATGTTTTGTCAAATCTTATTAGATCGATCGTCGACCTTTGTTTGTCAGTCTTTTTAGTTTCTTACAAAGTTTACGAATATGTTAATACTTTTGTTATATACAATTCTTTAATATATATATATATATATATATATATATATATATATATATATATATATATATTTAAGGAAATTTATATCAAAGAATTTTAATTAAAATTTTATATTATTATTGTTTATTGGACAATTACTTCTAGGTCACTATCTAAACGCTAGTCATTTATTCAAATCTAACAGCGTTATAGTAGTACATTGTTATTTAATTATAGGTAGCTATTGATGAAAAATAATGATTATATAGGAGATAATAAATTTTTGTACGTTTAAATTATTCAAATAGCAATAAAATTGATTTACAAACATCACTGCAGTCTAATGTTATTCTTATATATCACAAGAAAATGAAAAAATCCAAGAAATTTGAAGCCAAGTAAAAAAAATCAATTTACAAACATAACTTCCAACATTTATCGTAAAATCGCACTCCATAAAAGACACACTAAAATTTAATTCATATTTAAACTTATTTGAATATTCATAAGTAACAATTATCCTTCGAGCAAGTTGCAACTACTGCTCGGTGAATGTCATCGCGGCACGCGATTTAAACATATTATTTTCAAAGAAAGTACAATTAATTTTAACTAAGGCTGAGAAGCATAGAGGACAGTTAAAAACAAAAAAAAAAAACAGAAAAAAAGGTATGTAGCATAGCGGCATTGCCATCACCGTTAGCGCATACGCGCGATATTGTGCATAGAGGCATTGCGGGCGCGCGCGCGCGCGCGCGTGAATGTGCGTGAGTTGGTAAGGAATTTACCCGGGAAGAGAGACGGTACAACAGGTAATGCGCGCGCGACTTTTTTCTACCCCTAGTGAGCGCGCGCGCGCGCGTGCTCCAGAGAGAAACAGACAGAGAGCGGTCAAAGGAGGAGCAACGGACTCTCCCGCCTCGCTCGAACTCCCTTATCTCGTGTTTTCTCTCGGCTGTTGTCCATCGCCTATCTATTATCCGCGTCGCGAGCGCACTCTTGGCCACATCTAACCTCCAAGGCGGCCGATCAGCCTCGCTCCGCGCACGCGAAAGCCAATATAGCCTGGGAGTTGTTTAAACGTCGAGGTCAGTTCCGAAGTACCTGCAGCATTGATGAGCCGCGCCATCGCAATAATAACCCTTATCGGGAGACGTTGCCGTTAATTTTTCTACGTTCTTTAATCGCGACCTCCCCCTAGCCCCCCACCCCACCCCCACGGTGACGGTAGCCAGCCATCGCGCGACGCGCTAGTGCTGCTCGTCTGCTCTGTCTTCCTCACCTCGACTGTTATTTACCGCGTACAGCTGCTGCTTAGCCGCGACGTCGCGTGTACGCGCGCCGTGGACGATTTGTTTTGCTGGCTCGTCGTTAACGGTCGAGCCGAGCGGCGATTCGTCGTCGCACTGGCCGTCGCCGATTAACCCTTGCCCGCCCGACAGCAGCTACCGCGAGGTAAGTTTAATTCACCCAAAACCACATTTGCCATTTAATATCGTCAGCGGTACCGCAGCTGTGCTTCTAGAAGAGAAGAGCACAGGTCCATTCAACGACAATTAGCTCATCTTTCTCTTCCTTCCCCAAACGACAGTATTCATCTTTTTCTTCCCCCCCCCCCCCTCCTGTTTACAAATTTGAAGTGCACATTGTCGCGGCCGTGCACATCCATCCATATCAATGCCTACGCAACTTTATATACACATTTGCACGGACACACGTACTACACGCAATTGCTGATATACGAGCGTGTAACTCTGTGTGGCTGCGGGAGGCACGTACACGTGCATACATGGGTATATGTATGAATGTATATATATATATATATATATATATATATATATATAT